TATTTTTGGTCTGTACTTTCTCACTCCTTTGGTCTCTACCTGCAGATCTTTGTACGTGTTTTCATGGTGGTTGACTATGGTAAGCTTCCTGCTGGTGAAACGCTCTTGAAGAACTTGCAGAAGGGCTACAGCAGTGTGCAGTTTGACTTTGACTACAGGAGCACACTTTGCAGAGTCAAGGGAACATTTACTGAGCTGCAGGCCTTCAGCAGAGACCTGCTGGCCAGCCTGAACCTCAAAAGCCAGCCCACTGGAGAGAGCCTGCCTTCAGGATCCAGCCATTCGGCCAAAAACACCGGAATGTATGATTACCAGCAAGAGCCTGACTCTGCTGTATCAGCATCAAAGACAGTAAAGCTGCCACACTGGGACCAGGTGTGTGATAAGGCAGCTGATGGCCCATCACCTCGAAGCCACGTGGATCGGGAAGCTGTGGAACAGCTGGAGGACTTTTCCCTGGTCATGGACTCAGACATTTACTTGTACATACAAAGGTTTTGTGCTTCTGAGTACCAAGGTATACTTCGCCAGCATCACGTAGATGTGGTGGACGTTAGCAGCAATGATGTAACCATACTGTACCTCCAACCATCTCCAGGTACATCTGGGGACATGGACACTTTGCAACAGTCCCGCCTGGCGCTACAGCACCTCTACCAGCAGCTGGAAGTGAGCTTGCGCAAAGAGAAGCTCTCCAAGGGAGGACTGAACAACCAGGAACTCAGGGCTCTGACAAAGGAACTGCAGGAGCTGTATCCGCAGTTGCTCTGCCATGAAGATGGGAAACAGCTTGACCTTATTGGAAATCTTGTTGATGTCTCCCAGGCCAAGCAGTATGTTCAACATTTCAGCACCAGAAGTGGTGCCTCACAGATGGCTGGCATGTTCAGTAGCTCCCCACCCTCACAGCCAGCAACTTCCTACACTACAGAGACTACACTGGAAAAGCCCAAAGTTCCTGTGGACACCTTGCCTCTAAAGCTGAGCACAGGCAAGCCAGAGCTGAAAGCTGAACACAAGTTGGCTGCCAACTTCAGTGCTCCAAAAATTAGCAGGTCTCAATACCTTTTGGAAAATCAGGACTCCCCTCTGATGGGGCAGGCACAGCTTTCTGGAAAGCATTTCTCAGAGACACGTGCTCTGGATCCCAGTGACCCAACAACACTGGCACCGCCATGCCAGCCTCATATCTCTATAGTGGATGTCATTTCAAAGTCAGCAGCAGAGTCTCAGCAGGACCCCAAAGAATGGGGCCATGTGAAAGGAGGGGCTAGGCTTACAAGAGAGAAGAGTCTGTCTCCTTTTGGAAACAAAGAAAATAGCACTTTGAAGCATGCTGAGGACTTGACAGACTCAGATCCCAGCAAACATCATTCCCTTGCTGGCGCATCTAGTATCTTTCAGTCTCTAAGTCTCTTTGACACAACAAGAACCTCTTTGGACTCCAAACCCTCTGAATCCAGGTCTATGCTGCGACGCTCCAGCAGCTTTTCCTTGCCAAAGTCAAAGGAAGGCAACAAGCCCCAAGGCACTGGCAGGGCAGCCAGTGGAGACAATAGGGTGAGTGAAGAAATGAGCCTGAACTCTCTGCAGTGGTCTTATCTGAAGTATGCCTGTCGCTCTGCTATTGATGAACTGTGCAGGGGCAGAGTTGTGGACATCTCAGAGCGTTCCACTGGGGACTGCACTGTGCTCACATTGCAGGCAGCAGACAGGAGCAAGCTTCTCCAAGCTAAATGGAAGGTAGAAGATCTTGTGCAGAAGTGTCCTGACCTTGTGTGTCAGAGTATGAGCTACTCAGAGCTTGCTGTAGATGGGCCAGATGATGATGCTCTCTGCGAACTGTGCAGCCGCTTGCAAGGGGGTTCCCTCCAGGTTGGGCTCAGCAAAGACAAGTACAAGCTCTATCTTGCCTGTCCCGAAGACATGCTGCCAGGAGTGACTGAGGCCTTCCATCTGTTCTCTTCCAGGAGGCTCCATGCCCTGAAGTCTTCATCCTTGTCTCCAGAACCAGGGAGAGCTTTAAGTGCAGGGCACCCAAGTGCTGTCCAGCCAAGCCAGGACACCGTGCTGGATGCAGCCCTTCCCAACAGCCTGGAGTCCCTGCAGATGGACCTGCAGCCCCTGGACATTAGCAATAAAACAGTGCACCCAGAGGTTCTAAATGCTTTCCAGCAGCTGGAGGCTGATGAAAACAGATCCCCCAGTCTTTGGAGGTTCCCACAAGCACTGGGATGTGAGGCCAGTGACCGCATAGATCCTGGGGCTGTGCAGGGAAGAAGCAGCGTTCTCAGCCCTAGCATAATGGAAAATTTCAGTCCTGCAGCTCCTAGGGAGTCCAAGGAGCAGCTGAAGACCAAAGTGATGCTGGGGGAACCTGACATTGCACGGCTAAAGCAGGTTTTGCCAGACAGGTTCCAGTTTGTGAAAGACAAGAGCAGAGTAGGCCACGATGATGCCATGGGACAACTGCAGTCACCAGTCCTCACAGCTGATGATGCTCCTCACTCCGTGCCCACCTGGCTGTACAAGAGTATGGCTCCTGATTCATCCCATGCTGCAGCTGAACAGTCACCTGCAGCTGAGCCCAGGTCCCAGGAAAGTAACAGTTCAGGCAGGGACAGCATTCAGGAGGAGCTCAACCTCCCAGCACTGCAAACAAAAGACACCAGCCTTGAACAGGAAAGCTGCAAGACTCCTCTGAGCCAGTGTGATGCTTGCCAGGACTTATGCGTCACATGCCAGACCCCCTCTGGTCATGCCTTGTGCAGGTCATGTTTTGCAAACCAGCCAGCTTGCTGCAGTTCCTCCTTGGTTGCCCCCAGCTGCAAGATCTCAGGGACTTTCAAGATATCTTCTTTGTCACAGAGCTTGCCTGGCTACTTCCGAGACCTGACACTCCAAATTACCTACACCATCCCCAATGGCATTCAAGGGGTAGGTATCCCACCAAAAGGAACTGCCTATCCTGCTGGAAGCTGGGCAGTGGATTCTGTGGGTGTTACTGGGGCTATGGTAGGACAGGTGAAAGAGGGCAGATACAGCTCCACGCCCCATACACAAAGCAGCAGAGGTTTTGCCCCATGCAATAGCACTCCACACCAGGCTTAGGAGCTACTTGCTGCTTTTGAAGAGTGTGTGAGCTCCACTGTTAGTTCAAAGCATCTAGCAGTTCATGGGCACCACAGTGGTCTGTTTTCAAGCTGGACAGCATCTCAGAAGCCAGAGCTGGGATTATGCACTCAGGTGATTGTTTAATATGCTTTCTTCTTTTCTAAGGTCGGTCATCCTCATCCAGGAGAGCCTTACAAAGGGGGATATTTCTTAGCGTTCCTGCCTGACAACAGGGAAGGGCAGAAGACAGCAATTCTGCTGAAGAAAGCATTTGAGGAAGGGCTGACATTTCAAGTCAAGTCCTACAATGGAGAAGAAAGAGTGACATGGGGCCCTATCCCACACAAAACCTCCTGGCATGGAGGCAAAGCCAGGTATGATTCTGTTAGTACCACACCTTCAGGTTTTTCATAGCAATTGTAGAGAGAGAAACACTGATCTTAGCACAACAGACCTTGGGTGCTACTGCAGATTGCCACAGCAACATAGTTGGTGCCCTTTGCTTCCTTTCACATGGCAGCCACAACCCTCCATGACGCATTTCAAGTGGGATAAAGCCTTACTCACCCCCATCTTCAAGCTCTCTCCGTGGCCATGTATTCTGATCCCTCTTCACTTAGAACTTTCCTGGCTTTTCCCATGCCAGCTCTGCAGTCAACTCTGCGTGACATTAGGCAGCAGCAGCTGACAGCTCCCTGCAGCTCCCAGGGAGCAGGTCTTCCACCCTCACCCTCTGCTGAAGGGTTAGGACAAAAATAAGCTGCTGCCCCTCAATGGCTGTCAACAGGATTTACTGTCAACAGGATTTACATTGCTTCACTCTCTGCCCTACAGGAACGGCTATCCAGATGCCCAGTATCTCCATGAGGTTTGTACTGTCCTGAAGAAATTGGGCATTGACTGAGACTCTGTGCCTGAGCATTCACATCCAGTGCCTTCACTTCACCTTCCTTCCCTGCTGACAAAACTAAAACCCAGCACAGCTCAGGAAAAAAGCAGGTGCCTGCCCGAGGAGTGAATTGTGTCCTGAGACAGCCAGAAGTCTACACATTAGCAACAGCAGCCCCTCTATCTCCCAGCTTGGAGCTGAGTGTCCCCATTAGCTCTTACTAGTTGCTCATCTTCTCACCAGCCAGTTAAGTAACAGCTTGTTTCACCATCAGATTCAGGCTGAGCCCTGGCATGATTTTCAACAGAGTGCCATTTAACCAAGCCAAGCAAGCAGGAGCTTGCTTGTAGTTCAACCCCAGACTTCTGGAAGTCTGTTCCCTTTGGCCACTACCGGCCGGCTCCAGCTCAGCCACTTCCAGAGCCTGTGCCAGAGCTGAGCTATCATTAATTTCAGATGCTTAAGTAGACATTTCAGTCCTCGAGCTGACAGCCATGAACTACAGCCCCTCCCCAACACCTGCTCTGGGGACAGCAGGAAAGTTCATGCTTGGTTGGAGACAGCAGCAATGAGTTTCAGCTCTGAACAGCCGCCTCCTGAGAATATCAGGCACAGATAGGGTGCAGATGCAGAAACACAAATAAACAAGATTTATCTCCACATTCTTTGTAGTGGTTGCTCACATTCTGTCTGCCACTCTGGAACCCCATTTCATTCTCAGCTGTCTACAGGGACACCCCAACACAAACTAGAGTGCAGAGTCCAGCTAAGTGCTTTGCAAACAAAAATAATCACTATAACTGCCCTCCAAAATAGACTACTGTAAGAATGATGCAATGCTTGAGACAGAGATTAACAGTTATACTTGAGAGCAGAGGCAGCTTTTCAGATTTGGAGAGTTGTTGGGATTTGTAATCTGAGTACATCCAACCTCTGACTGCCTTTTGAAGCAATACAGGGGCCCCAGAGACTGGCAGAATATTGACTAGCACACCACTGAGGGTTTTGTTATGCTTTAATTAACATTTTAAACACATAAGGCATATGGAAACATTAGATGGAGGAGCATTACACATTATAATCATGTAAACAGCATTGGCACACTTGCTTTCTGTCTCACTTGGTTATACAAAGCAGAATACATTTTTTAAACAAAGATTTTCCAAGTGCCTGTAGGGTGAGCATCATTCATATCACACATTTGCACATCAACATAACTCAGACAGTGCAGATCAGACCATATGCTGTAAGAGGCTCAGTCTAATGCATTTCACATCATGCTCATGTACTACTTGCCAGTCACTTTGCCATCAACAGGGTTTCATACAGAAGAGACTTCATTAGGCAACAATAGTGCTTTCACACTTTGCCTGATAGCAGCTGCAAGTGGCCAGCATTCTGTGCTGATTAAAGCCTGCGGCTCACACTGCCTTTTTCTTGTCACTGATCACTCAATTTTAGTTTAATACAGGTGGGAAAAAAAATACACAGCTAAACTCCTCGCCAGCCCAAAGCACTTAGGGGGTCATGTTCCTTTGAGCAAAGTGAGGCTGCTTTCCTTCCTACGCCTGCACTTGGCATGCAACACAAATGAACAAGAGAGAAACTGAAGAGTCAGAGGTGACGGAAGTTGCTCGATGATAGCAAAGGGTTGCATTTTGCCCAAGTCTAAAAGCATCAGTCTGGGAATGCAACTATAGCAATGACATTGGAGTAGCACTAGGACAGGCATTCCTGCCAGGGGGATTCTTTGAATTACTCATGCTTTTCACCTGGCCATTTCTCCTCGTAGCATAACTTTTGGATCAGACAATGTAAATCAACACTGAATTGCACTTCTGATGGCAGTAATGGCACACACAATTTAAGAGCAGGCATCTCCCATTTCCTTGATAGTATGACTTTGCCCTAGAAAGTTAAGCAACACTGAATGGAATGATTCTTTTGTTTGTTTTGCTTTGGTCCTTAAGTGTACAAACGTGCTGGTTAACTTTAATTCATTAAGACACTTGAAATTGTTTTACACAGGTTATTGATCCACAAAATGTTTATCCATTAAAAAAGTAAAAATAAGGACTACTAAAACAAATCTAGAACGGAGCATTAACCCTGGCCTGTCTGTAGAAAACACGATTGATACTGAGGGACATAAAAACAGTGCTCAGCTCTAACAGAAGGCTATAGCAATTGATTAGTACTCACACCCTGATAAGGCCTTCACTCACATGCAGGTAGCAAACACATGAGCAGCCCCCCTAAGAGCACAGAGAGCCTGATTATTTCCAAGGAGCCAAGGTAGAACAGCTGATAAAGCCTCACTTGAGGACCAGCTCTGAACGGTGTTCACAAACTAGAGCAAGAACGATAACCTTTTTTTGGCAGTACTTTGAAAGGCCAGAATAGAGGAGGGTGACTTCCTAGTCCTTACAGACATGCAAAAGAAAGCACCAAGATGCTACTCTATGGTGTATATCATAAGGCAGCAAGGCAGAGGGGCCCTGCAGCACACTGCAGAACTCCCACTCCTCTTCTACATTCCATGAAGAGGGCCTGGGCAGAGAAAACCTTGCTGTGCTGCCTAATCCAAGTAATCCAAAGCCATCCGAGTAAGGCACTGAGCATGCTCTTGGCTGACAGTAAAGCAAGGAAAGGATGTTATGGTAAAACAGTTGCATAGATTTCCCTTTCACAACTGCAGAACTGAAGATGAGTGGCGTGGTATGTCATTTTTAGCATGCTTCTCTTTTATCAAGGTGAAGTCAGGTTCCACAAAGGAGACTTTCCATTGCAGCAACTTAGACGGTCATTCTGTTGTCAGATTTGGTAAAGTTGCATTAGACACTCTTGGATTTAATCCAAATTAGCATGATGGGGGCAGGTTGAAAGGAGAAACAGCAAGATTTTGGATTCAGATACGTCAGAAGTTGTGCTTCTGAATTTCATGTGGCCATACTGGTGGTGGTGGTGTTCCATGTGCAACAGATGGAACAATGGGTGTCTGTGCCTGGACTCCAGCCCTTCTTTAGGGCCACAGATAATGGGGCTGTGTTAAAGCTAGGCAGAATAAGTCCTCTGGAGTATCTGCCCATGTATTTTAATAGGCACCAGAGCTAAGCACCTGAAATTCAAGCTGAACTGATGCTTGCAGCACTGGTCTGGGAACAGAGAGGAAGAACACATACACTTAATCTGCCTAGGACTGCTCCCCCCCCCCTCCCCCCCCCCGACAGTGTTTGTTCTCCAGCAGATGAAGGGCTTCACCGTTGGGTCCACTTGCCCATGCATCCCCTTCCCTCTTTGGAGTCAGGACAGTCAAGACTCCAAGCAGTCAATATTTGTTTCTGCAGCCTGACCTCACCCACAACATGCCGTGCTCCTTGATGCCCTCAGTTTACCTTTTAAAAACCCAAATGGAGCCTAAAGCACTGCAGCATCTATAATCCATGACAAAGCCTCAAACTGCTAAAGCAAGCACACATCACTCTGTGGTCACCCAGGCCTGGAAGCCAGGTGGAGCAAGAAGAGGAAGTCCTCACAGAACTAGGTTTGGGTGTCTGCACAGTTCTGTTTCCAAACACAGTGAAGACAGAAAAGAGGAAGAGTAACTTCTAGCCCAGGAAGAGCATCCTAAGCATTTCTTAAAGCCCCAGTGCTGGAAGGGAGCTGGCAGAGACCCAACGCTTGCAGCTCCAGGAGAAGAGGTGTGAAGCCCTACTGACCATGAGGTGAGAGAGCCTAGCCTGAGAGCTCACTAGAAAGGAACAGAAAGCCTGACTGGAACTGTTCCAGATACCCATGCCAAAAGGCTCAGCAGAGCTGGACATTTTGCCACCTAAGCTGATAATTCAATGACAGGTAACACCAGGTGATTTGTTACACATGGAACCCAGAGCCCCACAAAGCAGGCTGGCAGGATTGTTCTTGCAGGCTGCTTTGCAATGTCTCCTCAGCACAAGGACACAGCACAAAGCAAGCAAAAACACAGGCTTATTTGGTCCCATCTTGCTGAAGTCTGATTCAACACTGCAGCTCTTGGAAATACGAAGACAAGGGTGAAGTTTAGTCTTAACAATATCAACTTGAAGACCAACATTAATAAAGCATAGATCCAACATCAAACTTTCCAGTCATCTGAGACAAAGTTCAATCCTTATGTTCTCTAACAATCAGACACAGTTTAGATCTCCTTTTACAGTTTGAAATCAATAACTGAACAACATCAGGTTACTCAACTGAAACTTTTCTTCTGTACTCACAGAGCAGCACAGCCTGCCAAGTTCCTTATACACCGCACAGAGAAGTGACTACACACTAAATGCAATACCCTATGGACTCCAGAATGCCAGGATGGTTATTTATAAGGCAAAGACAACATGATCTGCTATTATCTCACTGGTGTTAGGGGCCTGTGAAAGCTGAGGGAAGAAAGCACAGTTAATATGAACAGAGGATCAGCCAGGGCAGCAACTAAACTGAGGCAGCCATGCTGTTCCTCTGGCTATTAAGAAGCATTCTCAGCCTGGCCTCTTCTCCTGCTGAACATGCTTCTCAAAGGTGACAGTGCAAGCATTCCAGCATGGGCTGGGTGTCTGTGGAGATGCCTGGCAGTACAGCATTTTACATCCTCATGGTGACAATCTATGCAGCTGTTAAGCATCAACTGCTTCAAAGCTGCAGCTATGCTGCCAGAAAAAAAAATAACATTAGTTGAGAACTCGGTATGGAAACAAGGGATTAGAAAAATGTACAAAATAACCAGGCTTCAAAACAGAGAGCGAGGGCAGAAGGCATATCTGCAAAGGGTCAGTCACAGCAAGAGCATGCAAACTTCATCTGAGCTTTAACCACAATGTTCTTATACTGGTAATAATGCAAGCTACCGATCTGTCCATTTCCAGGCCCCAAAGAGAGCAGCAAGTTAAACCATGAATTCACAATCTGCACGCATCTCTCTCCTCCTTAGTTCTCTGCCTTTTTGGATTCTTCCTTGGGTGCCTCAGGAACCAGGATGACCTTTCCAACATTCTTCTTCTCTTGCATGTGTTTCATGGCATCTGCCACCTGGAAACAGTGGGAATCTCGTGAAACGACCTACAGCCACCCCACAGTGCAGCCAGGACCGCCCCAGACCTCCTTGGTCCGCCCAAAGACAGGGACACGCAGAAGGCAGCTCTCCCTGTAGCAACTCTGCACAGATGCATTTTGGACAGAGCTAGCATTTGCAGAACTCTTACGCATTTATATCTGAACAGTTCTTGGGTACTAATACCAACTGACTCTCAAGCTCTTTCCTCTTCTGCAATAACTCCTACCCCAGCAAGTAATAATATAATAAACTGACTCTGCTTGGACAACATGGAGCATGGCAGAGCTGCTGGGAGAGCTGCAGCTTCTCTTCCAACATTCTGCTTCGATGTCTCAGTCCCCTTCTGTCCTGGAGGCCACTGTCCTGGTTTCAGCTGGGACAGCTGTTTTTTTTCCTCATAGTGCATGGCATAATACTGTGTTTTGGCTTTGGGAGAAAAACAATGTTGATAACACAGCAATGGTTTAGTTGTTGCAGAGCAGTGCTGTACAGAGCCAAGGACATTTCAGCTTCTTGTACTATCCTGGCAGCAAGGGGCTGTGGGAAGCATAAGGAGCCAGGAGGGTACAGAACCAGGACAGCTTACCCCAACTGGCCAAAGGGATATTCCAAACCATATGCCACCATGCAAAAACAACCAAAACCAACAACAACAACAAAACAAAACATAAAACTGAGAGGACTTGGTCAAGGGGAGGAGACCCACTCAGGGACTGGTGGGCATCTGTTGGCAGGTGGGAAGCAGCTGTTTTGTGCATCACTTGTTTCGTAAGTACATTACTACATGATCATCACTATTGCTATTCTCCTCTTCTGTATTATACTGTTTCTATCTCAACCCACAAGTTCTACTTTGTTCGTTTTTTTTTTTTTTTGCCACTTCCAGCCTGATGCACAGCCCAGTCCCTCCACAGGTACACACTGTGCAGCTGAGCACTTGCCCCATCCCAAAGGGACGTAGTTTGGCATTGTGCAGCGCTGTGCACTGGAGCACGAGAGCCCATCCACTTCAATGTCTTAAAAGAAAAAAGTGCATTAACTCTTTGAGAACGGATGGCTCTTAGAATTGTCCAGACACTGTGAACAAGGTGCTCACTCTGAAACAGAGCTCCCTGTGCAGAAATCTCTTAGGGCTTTCTGTCTGCCTTCATGCTAGCTCAGACTCACCTGATCGAAAGACCATACAGAGTCTATTTTGGGCTTGATCTTTCCTTGATTGTACAGGTTAATCAGCTTGAGTAGAACATCTGTGATAAGTTTGTATTCTTCATCCATATTTCCAAGATCGTACCCACACACAGCCTTATTATGGTGCAGAAGCTGTATGGCATTGATGCTGAACTGGTTCCACCAAGTTTTAGCCATGGCCACAAGGTTCTTCTTCTGCCCAGTGATCAGGTTTGATACCCCTAAGAAGAAGACAAAGCCTTGGATGAGCTGGGGTCAGCACAGAGAGGCAGTGAGCACCCCACGCAACAGGATCTGGAGCATCAGCATGCATATATTGCAAAAACATAGAACTCCTCCTTCTTAGGAAGACAGTAGTGGTTGCAGCTGAGCTGAAGCCCTAGCAGAGGCAAGAAGGGAGTTGCAGTCACAGCCAGCAGGGCTGCTGGGACAGCAGCACTCCCCCTCTCCTACAGACAACCTTTGCCAGGGAAGCCACACGCTGTTTGCAAGGGCTGGGACAGAGGCAGTACTCTGCTGCAAGTGTCTGGAATCCCACTGGAGGCTGTGTGAGGGCTTTGTCTCCAGGGACAAAATCGCAGTGTTTTAGAGCTGGAGAATGGAAAGAGAAGTATTCAGCAACCTCAATGCTCATCACCCACACATCCTCTAGAAAAAAAGCAAGGCTCTATTAGTGCTACGCATTAAGGCAGACTGGACAAAGTAGCCATGCCAGGGTTCCACCATGGGGACATTACAGTTTCCCATGCAGGCTCTGGGGCCTGAGGAGAAATGTCACCGTGGGAAGGAAGAGCACTGGAACCTGTGACCACAGCTCTGGGGGCAAGGTACACATCTCACTCCCCTCAGTACCTTATCCAGGCAAAGCATCCTAAAATCTTCACAAAAGTTGCAGAACTATAACATAAGCAGCAGCTAACAACCACAGTGCTTCCTCCTGGCCACATACCCAGGCGTAGAACAATATACACTTGCATCAATCCACACCTAAGCTGGGGGTGGGATTTGGTGCCCACACTCACCATAAGTGATGACTTTACCCATTGGCTTCAGCAGGTGAAATGCTTTGGATGTGTCAGATCCGCCCAGCGGGTCCATGACAATGTCAACACCTAGAGGGAATGGAGAGCAGCTACAAGTCCTTGCACGTGAAAGAAGAACAGGGTCACTATGCAAGTCTTCAACAACACCATACCTTTGGGAGAGATTTTCCGGACCTCCTCTGCATAATCCATAGTTCTGTAGTCAATGGGGTGAGCGACTCCACTCTCCCTGAGTGAATCATGCTTGGAGGCAGATGCAGTGCCAAAAATGGTGACATTTTCTACAGTCTTGCACAGTTGGATGGCAGCAGTTCCCACACCACCTGGAAACCAGAAGGAAGAATGAGTTAAAAGCAAACATGGGAGTTTGGGACACAGGTTTTGTCTGGGGTAGGCTGAGTACATGCTAGGGGAGATTGACCGGGGCTACTGGGAAATGGGTTTGCAGGTGACATTTTGCTGGTTCAGCACCTCTCCATGCTGCCTTATCCATGCCCCAGCAAAGAAGCTGCACATTGAAATAAGAAACCTCAGCAAGAAATAACTTACCTGCAGCCATATGGATGAGGACACTCTGGTTGGGTCTCAGGTTGCCAAAGTCAAACAGGATCATGTAGGCAGTGATGTAGTTGACAGGAAGAGCAGCTGCTTCCTCAAAGCTCATTCCCTCGGGCATCAGGAACGTCTGCACAGCGGGCACATTCACAACTTCTTGCCAGAGCCCAGTTCTGGCCAGGATCATCACCTTATCACCAACCTAAAACCCAATGGACAACAAGGAGGTGTGAAATGAGCTTAAGATGCGCAGAATTCTTTGCTTTTGGCACAACAGGACTATGCAACCCATCAGCACAGTGGGGGCTATGCCCAGTGCATGGGGCATCAAGAAGCAGCTGCTCCATGTGCAATAGCAAGAAAACCACCAAACAGACCTATCAGAGAGCAGATGACAGATGAGAGGTAGCAGGAAGAAATGCTCCTCATTTTACAGGCTGGACATTTACAATTGAATAAACCAAGTCCTTTTCCTGGAAGGGAGGGAATAATCCCTAACAAAGAAGGTTTTAGGAGACACTGTTTCACTAGTTGTCTACCTTGACAGCCATGGGAGCCAAAGCTATGGGACACTCACAGCTGTTCTGTGCTGGGGCTTGCTAGAAATGCAGCAGCCAGAGACTCCCAGGTCCCCCAGCACCCCCAGCACCCACCCTGCTGCTACCCACAGCTCAGCACCCTCGTGAAAGCTGGAGCCGTTTCTCTGACCATTCCCATAGCCCAGATGGAATTACAAGCAAGCAGAAACAACATGGTCATGCTTCGGCCCTTTGTCCTACCAAGTGGTAAGAACATTTTATAGATGCAAAGAATCTCCTCCAGCTTTTTTCCCACGAGGACAGACCAGCAGGGACGCTATCGCCGCCGCGAACAAGATTTTGATAGGGGGAGGGTTGGGTTCGAAAGCAGTCAGAATGGAGCCAAGCACAGCCCCACCTCGAGCTCGCGGCCCGGAACGGGACGGGGCCATGAAACGGGAGTTCCCACCCCATTCCCGTGGGCCCGGAGCGCCCATCGCCGGAACTGGGGAGGGGCGGCGACAGCGCAGCGGACACCGGATGCGAACCGAACCGGGGCACCGCTCACCTGGCGGTCGCGGACCTCCTCGCCCACGGCGCTCACGGTACCGGCGCACTCCATCCCTGGGCAGAAAGGCAGAGACGGCAAGCGGTCGTACAGCCCCTGCCGCATCATCACGTCGGCGAAGTTGAGGCCGCACGCATGGACGCGCACCGAGAGCTCCCCGGGCCCGGGGTTGCCTCCCCGCCGCGTCTGCACCTTCACCTTCTCGTAGCCACCGAAACCCGTCAGCACCAGCGCCCGATGCTCCGGGGTCTCCCCGCTGCTCGCCGCCTTAACTGAGGATTGCTCGGGGGGGATTGCTGCGGCAACCGGGGCCGGTTCGGAGGACATGGCTAAGCGAAATGAAACGACGACGACTGCGAGGAAGGGGCAGCGGCGGCGGCGGGCGGGGAAAAGGCAGAGAACGGGGCGAGGCCGGGGGGGGTGGGCCGGGAGCGGGGGCGGAGCTGCGGCTGGGATGGTGAGGTGGTCCCCGCAGTCCCGTCGCCTGTTCCGCTGCCAGCCGCTCTCTCGCAGGCCACTATTGCAGCCCCGATTCACTCCCCCCGCCCCTTGCTGCTGCTGCCGCCGCTGCTGCTGCCGCAACCCCGGCCGCTCTCGGTGTGGCGCGCGGGGTCGACAGCAAAGTCCCAGCCACGCCCGTACAGCCGCTGCGTTGCGGAGATTAAATCATAATTGCGTCCTCGAGCTGCGGCAGCCGCAGCTCAGCTCCCTGCCTGCCTCCTCTGCCTCGACCTTATTTTTCCCTTCCTTTCTGCTAAACGTTTCCTTTCAAGCAAACTAAGTGCGACTTTCTGGAACCACGTATGGAATGGCTGCTTTGGTGGGTAGTGGCCTCGATGAGTACTGCTACAGTTTAACATAAATAACCGAGGTCACTTCCAGGATGGTTCTGTAAACAGCTCTCTACTCATAGCCCTGAAATGGCTTCGAGCGTTGGGCAGGAGGCACGGGCTGCCTCCCAGACAAGAGGGAGGAGTCCTCCTCCAGTCCCTAACTGCAGACAAATAAATGCGACTGCATGCGTGGATGGATCCATCTATCTGACCCCTCCTCCTGCTCATGGAGCATCTGTCAGCAGGCAGCAACCAATTCTGTGAAATGCTGTTCAGATCCTTGCCCAGCTCCCCAGCTTGCTGCTGCAGTGCAGGTTTGCGCTGTGCACAGTCAGAGCCTCTCCACAATAGTCAGGGAAGAACATCCTCATGCTCCCAACACTGCAGCTCAAGGGTAAAGGTTCAGACCTGCAAGTCAAGCAGCTGCTGACAAAGAGAAACATCTACCCCAAAAAGAGGAAAACAAAATCCATCTCAAGGATGACAGAAACATGCACGTTTGAAGTTTCTGTGTTGCTCCAGCACCATCTGGAATTTGCTAGCCAAGCAAGTCAAGCACAAGGCCTGCTTTGAGCAGGGCACTCCCGACCTTGCTGACAGCATTTGATGTAAGGTTTTGGCCTGATGGCAGATGAACAAACCCCAGCAGTTCCAGGCGCTTTGTTTGTAACAGCCATCCAGCTCCTCAGGCAGCTGCTGACAAAAGCCAGCAGCAGTTCTGCGTGGATATAGCCGGGGGGGGGCAGCAGGATGGGGCTCCTCAGGAAGCAGAGCACAAAGGCAGGAAAACGATCAGGTCTGGAGCAGGCTGCAAATCATCTGGTTCTGCTGCATGGCATATTTACAGGTGTTTGGATGGCTGCAGTGACAGCAAGGAAGAAGCTTGTGGCCTGTTTGCACACCAGGACCTCAGAGCAGCTTGGACATTTACATTCTTGTTTGCTATTTCTTGGATCTGAGGAATACAGATGTGACTTTGTAATGGCTGAGCATCTCTTGTGCTCAAAGTGAGGAAGAAGGGATCAAAGCACAATCCTGCTTCTTACTGTTCTTGCTGTGTTCTTCTCAGAAGCTTTCATACCATGTCCTCCCAGTAATTTATTTTTGCTGTTGTCAGGACACCCATAGTGGATGAAAAACACTGTCCAGGAGAAAGCTCTTATGGACCTACAGAGGTGCATGAGATAAGGGGAAGCCTCCAAGAAACTCAGTGCTGGATGAAATCAGTGGGGTTTGGGAGATAGGATCCTCTTCTGCTAAGTTGTGTGCAGTTGTAAAGCAGATAAAGACATTTTTGCATGGGGCACATCTGCTTGGTGTGGGCTTTGCTGCCTTTGTCTCTTCAGTGCTTCTGAGTCAATCTTTCTTTTATCAGATTGGTTCAAATCATGTTTTCTCTGCAAATCTTAGCTATTTTTGTGTTCAGCTGCAGTAGCCTAAACACTGTGTGTAATGTAAGCTGCAAATGCAGTTGGGGGGCTCTGGGCATTCACTGTTCTGTTTGCAGGAGCTGTCTGTAAAGCTCTGCACTTGCAGAGTTGTGGTCCAAGCATGGTGTGGCACTGGCTGGGATAGGATACTTGTATGGTTTGCTGAAGGGATGCATTAGCTGGAATTAGCAATTTTTCCTGGTGGAATTGGTGTTCCCTCCTCCATTCTTTTTTTTTTTTTTTTTTCCAGCAAGCTCTTCAAATGCAAGTGCTTCTGTATGGTACTGATTTGCAGTTTACAGCTGGAGACAGGCACTGGGCATGTAGGAAGCTGTTCCCCTTCACATTCCTGCCAAATGATGAGTGTTTCAGTAGTCCTGCACATCAGCCTGAACTTTCCAACAGCCTCCCTCTGCCTCCCCTCGCCCCTGGCCGCAGGTGAGAAGGGCAGGAATGCCTCTTTGTTCTACCTCCCTTTTTTTTCACACAGGGCTCTAAAAATCCATCTCCTTTGCTCTCACAGATGCAGGATCCACACAGGAGATAATGCAAGCAGTAGGAACCCTGCAGTGATGGCACCAGGATAAAGGGCCAAAATCATTCCTTTCAGAGCGAGCATGCTGGAGACCCCATGGAAATAATCTCCAAGCCCAGCCATAGGCGAAGAGCTTAGAACAGAGGTTTCTGTTTCTGCCAGGATCCTGACCAGTGCATATCATCTCCCCATGTTTCTCCACACCCCCTGGTCTGGAAGGGAGCTGGAGGCTGCAAGCAGACCCAATAGGATTCTGGAACCCAAGGTGACATCTTCTGAACTGTATGTTTTGCCATCCTGGAACTGCTGACACTATGCATTTATCTGAGTGTGTAGGGACAACCAGAAGCTCCTCCTGCCTCTGTTCTGCCTTCCTTTCACTGGTGCCTGCTGTGCATTGGGATGCACAAAACAGCAGCCACAGATGAGATCTCTTAGCCTCATTGTTCTTGTTGGCAGTGCTGTGCCTGCTGGATTGCATTCACACCTTCCTCCCAGGGACATGGAGATGTGATAGCGGCACAGCAGGTGGAATAGATTTATTCCACTATTTCTGTCCACCCCCCCAGACAAACCTGCCACTCACAGCCACCACCCCCATCCTGCTGTTTTGATCACAGAGTCAACGGAGGCAATTGTCAAGCACTAACCAAGGCTGGGTGAATATCACTTCAATCTGCAGAGTGACAGCAGGCTGAGAGAATGCTCACAGAACAGCGGTATCGCTTCCTGCACCGAGCTGTGTCTGCTCCACACACTGCAGAGGCTGGAGAAGCACCAACTCCATGCAAGGTGCCTTCCCATGAGTGCACAGAGAAACACCCCGCTGTGTCCTCTGCTGTGGGCCCTGCAGACAGCCAGCAGCATGGGGATCCTTCCATACTTCAACCTTGCAGCTGTATCAATACCAACATTTACAGCGTTAAAATTACAGGCATAGTGCATCCACATGCTGTGTTCCCACCAGTGTACCATTAGTTGGCCAGTGTGCTGGGAACCAGGCTGCTCACTTCCAGAAGAGTGTGAAAGGAGCCCCAGTCACCCCCTCAATACAGGGAAATTTGCAGCAATCATCGAGGCATTACGTCTCCTCCAACTATAGCACACATGCTCCAACTGCAGTCTTTCCAACAGAAGCCTTGTTGGTTGAATGCCTTCTTGCTTTAATCCCTGAGGTTGCTGAAGGATGCTGCTTTCATCTGATAGCATTTATGAACTGCTATAATGAGTTCTGGCTTGCTGAGATAAATTAAATCACTCACCCAGAGGTACAAACTTCATTAATGCCAACAATGACTCAGATTAGCATTATTCTAGTTAGGAATATAAACAGACTGGACACATGAAAGAGCTTTGGTTGGCATTTTTTCCCCCTTTCTCTTAACCTTTCTAATTGCTGCTGATTTGTGTCTTTTGCTCTGTGTGTTCAAACTCTGTGCTTCTCCACCTCTTCAACTTCCAGGAGAAACTGTCGTATGACACACCACCATTCTGGACTGACTGGTTTAGCTGCTGACTGTCAACAGCGAGAGATATTCGGCAGTTTTGCCTGGCAAGTTTTGTGTCAAGTCAAAAAAACATGACATGTTTGTCAAGGCAAAAAAAACAAACCAAACCAAACCAAACCAAACCAAAACAAAACAAAACAAGAAAACTACTCAAAAATAGAGCTGATGAAAAATTAAAGTCCCTTCTTTCTGCTCCCGTTTAGAGTCTCACTAGGGAAAATTCCACAGCGGAAATAAGATGTTGCAGGCTGAGACAAATGGCACAGGAAAGATGTGTGTGAAGTAACAACACATACCACCAAAATACAGAAAGTGTCATGGTGTGAAACAAGGAGAGCATGGATAGGCAAGACAGAACGCAGCCACTGGAAGAGCATTTTCAGGAACGAATGTGCTGGAGCCATCTGCTGCCTCCCCAGCAGTGTTGACAGTCACAGCGCATCTCTCCCTGTAGCCCACTCTGAAAAGTGCCTATTATATATTTTGCAAGTGTTGCTTGCCAAAAGGTGCAGTTGCACCAAATGGGACAGCAGTGACACTGCCCCATGTGGCTCAGAGCAAAAGGTGCCCTCAGCTGCACGCCCTCCGCAGAGGAAGGCAAATGCAGTTGTGCTGAGTTGCAAAGTCTCAAGTATTCAATGCAGAGGAAGATTTTCTACATCCAATGCAGGATCCCAATAAACTCTTGGAAGCAAAAAGATGAATTCCTACTGAGATATATTCCTACTGAGGAACAGCAGAGTGCAGAGTAGTGCTCATGAGCGCTGGGTGTTGGTGTGGCAGTGTGCCTCACTCTGTGCCTCTGGGCTGTGCTCATCCCCACGCACAGCACTGATATTTATATGAGAAATGGCTGCAATTTCCTCAAAAACAAACTGCTGCATCAGTCCATTAATAAATCTGCTTTTCCTGCCAAAATATTTTAATTTCCACTTCCCCAGACTTGCTTTGTCTTCGTTGTCTCTATTTTTACTATATTTTGTGACAGATGGTTTGTCTCTGACAAATGAAGATTTACACTTATGGTAAATCTTTCTGCAGGATGGCATGTATCAGCAGGAAAGGAACCTTTCCTTTTTCATGATTTTGCTA